ATTCTTTTGTTCTCAATTCGAATGGACATTCTATATTTATTTAGTATTTATGAAAAATCACATAAGTAGCTGAGTATTAGTTACCCACATGTTTTTTTTTACTTGTAAATGTTCATAAAACCCACAATTTTCTGTAACAACTTTTAATTCCTAATAATGCAGCAGTGAACCTTATTAGAAAAACTTTATCGGTAAGCGGCGTCATACGCAAAACTGTGCTCCATCGTAACTTGGAAAACCGAACCCAATATCATTTACATAGAATACAAAATCCTTTAATAACCCCGATACCGGGTTGTTTATAGTCAGTATTGACTCGACAGCGTTTCGCTAAACTTTTCTCATTTCGAACCTAGCGCTACTCGAACGAGAGTTGAAGCCTTTGCCGCTTCTATTAGGTAATACCGTAATATCTTTCAATCAAAAGAAAGCTTAAATGCAACGTCAGCAGTTTCTATGGAAGCGGTTCCTATTACCCACGACTGGACACAGATTTCCTCTTTCAAAGAAGTTAGGTTAAAGACCTTAGACCCACCATCCTGCTTTTGTTTTAAAGCAGTTCAAAGCAAAGTCCTTAGGCCTTTAAGAGGTACAAAAATTTGTTGCTGTCATTACAAACACTGACATTGGTGGCGCTGTCCGTGGCAATCTATTTGTTTATTGTGTAAATGCATATCTTGGATTGGAACAAAATATTTATGTATACAGCTTGTCTTGTTAATTTTTCTATAAAATTTACTATGTGTTTTATTTTTACAAGATTTTTTTATTACTTTCATTAACGCGTGGCACCGCACTCAACTTCTAGCTAGAAGTTAAAAAGTAACACTCAACATTTTTGTACTGTTAAGATTAAGTTATGTTTTTTTTTTAATATTACAATTTTGTTTTTTTAGTTAGTAACAAGTTTATATCTTTTGTGTGGTAAGAAGGTGGAAAGGTACTGTTAGCAATCGTTGTGTAAAATAACAATTTTTATTTTATTTAATCAATCGTAAGACAGGATGGATGATATTATGGGCATAAGTAGCAGCAGAACAAAAAAACAACAAAACATCATGTTTTCTAGGATGCCTGATTTTCTATAACTTGGCTATGAAGACGCCACTATATTAGAAGGTTCGTTTCAACCAATCACCCCTCACTGCTGGGCATAGACTTCTTGTATAAGAGTTTCGAAAGCTTAGATCCACTACCTTTCTTTGGCGCCACAAAACTACTGGAGCTAACCGGAACCGTTGGCTAAACGTACTCTTCTAGGCACGGAACACCAAAAATCCATATTAAAGAAAAACAATTGAACGCGACATATTAATCAGCCACCAAATGCATGACACGTTGAACCCGCTAATTCCCTTATTGCTATTATCCACGATCCCTTTAGGTCGCGAACAATGACGCTATACGTCTTATTGTTATGGCATCACGCCTTGACCGACGCTAAACCATACATTTATCCCATTATATCGTGAATAACACTGGATTATAGGTGATACACGGTTACTAACATCTGAACAAGTCTATATTAAGACAGATAGCTGAAGAGTTATTTTGTTTGTTTGTTTGAACCTCAGGAACTACGGGTTCGAATTGAAAAAATATTTTTATGTTGGATGGACGGACATTTAACGATGAAAGTTTTAAGCTATACAACATCAGGCTGCGATCAATAGGAGCGAAGAAACAGTCGGAAATGTGGAAAAAGTGGGGGAAATTATTTATCTTTGAGGGTTTCCTCAAAGATAAATAATTTCCCCCACAAACGGTTCAAAACCCAAAAAATATGTATGAAAGAACTACCGACCGAGACCGAGTGATTATATACATATAGAAAAGATAATATGATGTGAAATCCTAAGAAAGATTTTTAAAAATGGTAACACAGGTACAGAGTACCCAAGTAAGGTTTTAAAATATGAATTTTACTGTCTGATAATAAACCTTTACTGTCTGATAATAAATAAAATACTTAACGGTTCAAAACGCAATATACAATATATCATTTATTTCAACTAAAACCGTGGCTTGGGACGCATTACAGCTTTAACCACGTGGAGACGTACGCCCTGTATATTTCGCGTTTAGAACCGTTCAAACGGCTAGTCCACTGTTAACCGAGGTCGTTGCGGTCCGTGTGTCACGTTCAATTCAACAATTAAGATTCCTTAGCTCATTCTAATTACACCTATGCGGGTTTCTTAATGAAGTTAAAGGGAATTAATTATTTCGGGGCATAAATTTAATCCGTGGCTTTACTTATGATGGTCGGACCTAACTTGATTAACGTCTTATCTTTGTTCAATCTTGCGTTGTTACCGCTGGGATAATGGATGTATTGTTTATTATGGCTTAAGTTTTGAAATAATTCATATTACATGCCTCCGAATAATCTGTATTTTATATGATAATACAGTCTGTAGTTTACGCGAGTAGTACACATGTAGATAAAAACTTAAACGGTTTTCAACGCGCTATTAGTTAAACTTACCGTTTAACAACTCGCGGAGACTAGCCGTGACCACGGCTGCTGCAAAGCACCCGAAACGTTGGGTCGTAGTAAAAATAATATTCATATAAGTTTAACTAATATATATCGCGTTTTAAACGGTTAAATTTAAAAGACAAACTATTATTAAAGAGTTTCTTAGAAAAATATTTAGAAAATCTCTGATATATTTCATCTCTGATATACTTTGTCTATCGTATAAAATCTGAAATTTTTTCCGGGTTCTGAAACACCGTCCACAGATGGAGAAGCCTAAAGTGTTAACCGGCGTTTTATTTCAGTCGGTAGATTTCTGAATGTCTAATCCAAATAGGCCGACGGCGCAGCTTATTTCGGTACGTATAATATGGCGTAATATGGTGTAAAAAATACCTTATTATTTTTGTTCTTCTCTCATAATAATTGGACATTTTAGAATATATGTTTGGAGTTATGATGGGAATTTATTAAAAAATTGACTGCATATATTTATCTAAATGACGGTAGTTAACGCAACTTGTACACATTGAATAAAACACCTAGACACCACAGTTAAAAATTATTAAACAGACTATAATTAACATCTTACTTCTGCCAAGTGTTTTATTATTTTTTCTAGTGGAAGTTGGCTCAACAAAAACTGTTTAGGTTAAATCAATAGTAAACGAATCCCAAAGGTCATTTCTCTCAGTTTGTCGTAAGAGTGGTTGATTTTTATTCATTTGCCAGCCCGGTCTGACGTAGGACATATTGGTGCCTGGGACGAGGAAATTGCATTCCTCCTAATAATTCCCTTTATGGGCAAACATTTTTATTGTTCACTGTTGCTTTGTAAAATAGTTTTCTTCAATTTGCTGGTGGCACTTGGATTATTGCTTCAATAGTACGAAATTATGAGGTTTTTATTGTCCTATGTTGTCTCTTGACCGCCTCTGTAGCCAAAAGGGTAAACGTATTGCCTAGCATACGTGAAGCGCGAAAGGTCCCGGGTTCGAATCCCAGGGACGACATAAAACTGTTTCGGTCGAGCTGGACACAGAAGTCTGATCAACTATTTGCCCGTTAAAAGAACGGATCAGTGAAATGGACACAGAAATGTGTTCGCCGCATGCCCCACGAAGGGGAAACGGGCTTTCACTTTTTTTATATTGTTTCTTATAAAGATTGATTGATATAGACGATAATTGTACTTACAATAAACAACAACAAACGGCAGCTTTTCTTATTACGTGTATTGTACTGAATACACGTAATAAGGACAAAATAAGTGTACCCAACAAAAAACTCCATAAAAGTAATTATTTTCAAGGTAACTGCATACGATACTTTAATAAAATTCCCAGCGAAGTGCAAGCACTCTCAATAAATAGGTTTAAATCGTATGTACAACAAAAACTGCTTGAAAAGGGTTATTATCACGTTAATCAATATTTAAATGATAAAAATGCTTGGGGTGTGGAGGAACCCGCTCTTACGAGGAAAAATATGTAGTGCACTAAAAGTAAATCAAGAATGTAAAAGAAACTTGGCGATAAAAGGAGTGACGGCGAGTTTATTGCCAGTTCTTCTCGTTCGTTCTACGCCCTTGATTTGAGAACTGGTAGTAAATGTAAAGTTAGATTCTTTAATTATTTTTTGACGTTCATAAGTGTACATAGTTACTTACATGAATAAATGATTTTTGACTTTGACTTTGACAAAAAGAATAGGGCTTTTGCGACTATTCTGCTTAAGTTAATCTACTTAAATTTTAGAACTATTTGGTAGTTGAAATTGAGAACCGTTTTTATATAATTTACACGAGAATAATGAAATACGTAATCACTATTTTTAGTAAACCGCGCTATACGTGGGTGTATTACTACAGATAACACAAATGAGGTTAATAATGCGATAACATTGCCCGGGGATTACCCATATTTGAAGTATAAAAATTACTTTATAAAAATATATGATACAAGCAGTAATCAAACCCATGAACAACGCAATGTAGCTTGTGTAAATAGGCAGTTTTTAGAAAATAGTGAACATCGAGTATGTTTTTAAACGGGCCGGTATAGTAAAACTGTATAAAGACTATAAAACTTTATAATAGAAAGATAACGGTCTGCAATAGAAATGTTCTCTGGACATTTCCAACTGATTTCTATGTATTTAGGTGTTCTGAAAACTAAGAAAATACTAAAAAAATCAAATTCGTCTGTTACATTTGTTTCGAATATATGATATTAAAGCAACAAGTGAATATTACGGACTTTGTAAAAAAAATCTAAAACTGTGTAAAGTCACTTCCAAGAGATGGAAATTGCTTCAAATAGTTAATATCAAAATTTCCAGGCATCTCGGAGGCAAAGTTGAAGTGTTTTCGTTGGACCGGATATTAGATGGCTTATGGCTGATCCACTATTTATCACATCCATAACGGATCCTCAAAAAGAAGGGCGGATTGCCTTTAAAGAAGTCACAACGAAATTTTTAGGCAATAACAAAGACCTCCAAACAAATCGTCAAAAGAATGTTAGGCTGCTTAATATGTTTAAAAGTACATTTTCTTCATTGCCACCTCGACTACTTTCCAGGAAATTTAGGAGACGTGAGTCAAAAGCAAGGTGAACGATTTCACCAAGATATTAAGGAGATGGAAAAAAGATACCAGGGAAGATGGGAGCGTCTCAATGATGGCAGACTGCCGTTGGACGCTTCAAAGCGACCTTCCAGGTCCTTCCCACAAGAAAATGTACCAAAAAGAGTCTCACTGGGAAAAAGAAATGTATTTATTGCTTAATAAATAATCTATTTTAAATAAAAAAATAGTTTTCTTACGCAATTATAAATTTGTATTTTAATTGTTTATGTTTTATTTTAAGATAATAACTTGTTTAACATAGACACCTACATTGTCAGAAAACGTGACGTCCTAGGACAAAATGAATTATTTTCGAATTCAGCATACCACTCATAAAAACCAAAACAGCTCTTATTTTTTTTTGCAGGCTTGTGTTATTATAACAATATAAATACCGGCTTTGTAATACTCAACTTTATTCATAGTATATATGTATTATTATGTATAAAGACACAATCTATTCTATTTTTAATCACTTAGGTAAGTCTTCCCAAGAGGTTTTATTCTGTTTTTCAATTCCCGCGCAATCCGCTCCATATTAAAACAATATGATTGTCTATGGGCGTCGCATGCGTGCATAGAGTATAGACAAATGTCGCTTGTCTATGCAAACCCGTTGAGAGCGGAGACGCTTCTCTGTGAATACGTTTTTGTTCTATTTTTCAAAAGATACGAGTATTAATTGCAAATATTTATTTACATTTTACAAAAACAGCATTATACCGGTTATAAAAACGCAAAGCTATTTCTTTTGGAATTTAATTAATTTGTTTATATATTTTTCGTAAATTGTAAGGGTTGCTGGCAGTTGTTTGAATTGATTCGGATACTCGGTACTCCACTCATAAAATTCGAGGGTACTTAAAACATCTCCAGATAATAAAATTTGATCTTTTGATATAAGTTCCTTGCTGGAAACCCTTACTGTCAGTGTTTTATATAGTCACTTTTCACATAATTTTTTCAAAACAATATATGTGAATCTATTATATCTATTTTGTATTTCTTATTTCCTAATGCAATTATCAGTGTTTGCACAATGCGATATTATATCAGATATATTTGAACGACAAATTATTTAAACCGTCTTATCTCTTATATCTAGATTTTACTTCTAAAAACAACTAGTGCAGGACAGTTTGTTTGCTGAAAGTTGTTACATTTTTAAATAATTGTGATAGAGATTACTCCTCGACTGTCTTATCAAAAGTAATTCGTAAACTTAAAGACATACCTATATAGTAGTGAATCTTTGATGAACACAATTCACATTTAAACTTATTTCATTTGGGTATTTCCCTCTTAGAAAATAGACGTCACATTTCCCAGTGCGATCGTAAAATATCCAAACGTTTCGTAATGTAAGGGATAAAATACCAGAGAATAGACATTTCGATACTGTTGCTTTTAATATTAAAATACTAACGTTTACCTCTATGGCTCAATGAAAGAATAAAGTTCTATAAGGCGACTTTTTAATAAGATTTGATAAAAAAGTGTTTGAAAACATCAATATTGTTTACATGTTAATGCACATGAAGGCACTATATCAGCGTTCTACCGAGTCAGTTGGTAGAGCAACAGCACGGAACGCTGACGATGCCGGTTCAAGTCCTGCCCGAGTCAAAAAAAATTTCAATTTATTATCGATTTTTAAATTAAAAAAGTATTTTCTAAAACTCATAATCCTACCAAAACTGAGACAAGTGAGAGGCCTTACTGGTTTACAGAAAACTATTTGCTATAAGTTTGAGTTCGTTCATTTTATCATGTCCACTCGTATACCCATAAAATTGTCTTTCTTATATAGACTAATCTAGCAGTACCTACACAAGCCTTTTCAACGGTCAAAACTGCAAAAAGACTGGCTGGCAAAACATAATATCGGTGAACTAAAATCGAGATCCTCTCGACTGTATAATTACGCCGAAAATTTGGGATACTCTCGAGTACTGGATCCTCGAGTGTTGGCATATTCAAAAATTTCAATACGAACAGACCGCCGAGTGGGGTTTTATAGCGAAGCACACGGGTCGCAAGGACGGCAAACATTTTGTTCAATTCGTTTTACATAAAAGTAAAGAGTTCCAGTCGGATTCAACTATTATATAGAAAACAATAGAAATAATGGTCCTAAAATAGGACTGCTACATCAAGTTACCGAATATATGTTGATAAAACTATAATCAATATATTGATTAATACGTTATTTGTTTGCGATATCTTACTACAAAATAGCTTTTTAGCCGCCTCCTTCTACAGTATCACTAGCTCGTACAAAGTGATGCTACCCATTTGTAAGAACCGTGTGTCCAGCGCATTATCTGAGTCAGGGGAGGCACGGGGGCGGATATCAAAAGATTCCTCATCAAAAATGAACGACCGATGTCGAGATGCGAGCGTCAGAGGACTCGTATTTTTAACCTGTACGCTTTGGATTATTTTTCAATGAACTCTGCCGTATTGGTATAAAGCGCGCTGAATAAACCCGAAAATACAGCCGAAATATAAAACAAAAAGTGTATAGTGGGATGTGGTTGATATGCGAAGGGTGAGAGCAAATGATAGTTATAGAAAAGCCGGTGCAGTTTTACGCTTAAATTGAGTTTTCGAAAATTGACGTTTCGTTAAAAATCTCGTTATTTACGATGTTTGTTATGAGTATGTATTTACCAAATATAAAAATCGCCCATTTTTCAAAGTAAAAATTTAGGCGTATTCAAAATTATTATCAGTTATTGTTAAATATTAATAAGATAAAAAAGAATAAGAAGAAATTAATAAATTACTTAAAATTCTACTTTTATTATTTGACTCATAAATCAAAGTAGGTACTAGTTTTGTTACGCATCATATAAAGAAGAAAAACGAATAAAGATATACGTATTCCAAATACCAACTGAATACGACTCACTGTTCATAGAAAAAAGGTTCAATTTGCCTCAACTGCGAATTATTAAACGGAAAAGCCTTAATGAAAGATGAAAAATTTAGTAGCATACACTTGGTAGTGATTTTTTCTTATGTCATTCGCTTTGAGGCTTTATAATGGCGTATTAATGCTTAATGTATGAGGAAAGTTCGGGTTTTGAATGTTTGAATTTGAAATTAACCTATTGAATAGATTAATTCTTAATGTAAGGTAGCTTTGCTTAATAAATAATACTTTCTTTTATAATTATTTACTCATCTAAAAAATGCGTTATCGACCTATTTTTGGCTTCGGATATTCGGAGTATAATATATTATAAAAATAGTCCCTCGATTGATAATTATGTATACTACTCATAAGTGTAACCATATTTACAATAATTATTGGACATTTTAATTTTTCATTCATTAAATTTGCATCTATATGCCTTCTAAAGCTGGAGTTCTTTGTGATTTCTATTATTAAGTAATTGTACTGTGGCAATGGACTGTTTAATTAAATGAAAGTATTCGGCTAATGTCTCGATAAGGCGAAAATTTATTAAATCAAATGTTATATTCCGAAAACTATTAGGGCGAGCCAAAAGGTGGGTTCCGTGTGATAAAATAATTTTTCATTTTAATAGTTCTATATAATAATGTAGATAATTCAGTTCTACTTATTCTGATAATCGATTGTCAAACTGAGTTTACGGTAAATAATTTCGGTCGGACAGGGCACAGTAATGCCCCTAAATACTTGTGTGTATATAAAATCGATTAGTATAACGAATGCTATGGGATTTAACAATTATTGTATTTAAACATTCCGATAGGTGTTTCATTAGATAATAATATTTGAAGTGTTGTTTATTATAGCTTTGTTTTTTTTTTAAATTGAAGTATGTCATGAAATTTTCGAAGCTAACATTTGAACCCTAAAGAAACCGAACAAGGACACTTCGCTCATAACACTTCGATGGGTACGCCCATATTTCCATCAAAATTATTTTGTGGTATAAGACATAAGAGTCGCCACAGTTCACCTTTGGTGGTTCTTATAACTTAAAACAAACATAGAAATTTTAAATCAACAGAAATATGTCTTAATAATAGAAAAAACGTTTTTTTTGTAATACAAACGTAAGTTTTGCTACGTGGAATCTGTAATGCGCCAGTCCTATAAATTTTAACTAGATTTTTTTTTATAAAATAGCTGTCATATAGTATTCGATATATGCCTAACTTTGAAAATTTTAAATAAGTCTCACAACCAAGAAAAATATATTAGTCTATTGAACACGTATCCTACAGTTGACATCGATAAAGAATATTTAACATTGGCTGTTAACAGTTTAAACCGTAAAATATTCGTTTATTTTAAAATATGCTATGGCTGCAGTAAAGCACTTGAAATGAAAAAATAATATTTTGAGTTCTCAACAGGCGTCAATTACAGACAGTGCTTATTTTCTATTGAATGCTAGTCATGATGAACGCTATAAGCGTATAACTTAGACCTATCAGATCGCATGCCCAACCTCGCCCATACAGATATGCAAATAAAAGGCATAAATGTATATCGTGATGTACAAGTAATTAATAATATATGTCTCCGTAATATTAGCTGGGCGCGGATTTGTTCTGATTAATTACTGGGTGGAGTTATTTGTGTGGCCCTAATTATTTTTTAATACACACGAATGTTACACTTTGTATACTAAGTGTACAATTGTTACTTTTACATAAATGGCCTAATTGTGTAAAAGACTTCATCGCCACAGAACCGCAAAGAGTCCTTCAAATATAATACTTTTGATAAGGTATGGCAGAGAAGTCTGAACAACTTCTTGTCTAGAAACAGTTAGTTAAATACTGCCTGTAGTTTCCTGTAACGGCTTGAAACGCGAAATAAATGATAACTTATTTACAAATTAATTTAATCACACTGGTCACGGGAAGACCACGGCTGCTGCAAAGCATCCGAAATGACGAGCCGTTGTTAAAATAATTTGTAAATAACTTTAACTAATATATTTCGCTTTTTAAACCGTTAAGGTATTTTACTTAAGTAATAAGGTGGACTCAAAGTCTATGCCTCACGTAGGGGAACGGAATTTTACTGATATATTAAATAGAATACGTGAAAAATTTTGCAACATATCTGTGAATACTGTGTAATAAAAAAAAATTTAGTGGGAACACGACAGAGAATTCGATATGTGAATAAAGAAAATGTTAATTTTACTTGTGCTGTAAATAATATTGATAAATAAACTTGTTAAACGCGATGGAAATCAAACCTACGACTACGTGGATTCATATTTAGTATAATTTACATTATAAATTGATTGTTTAGTAATATAAGAACATGTACTACACGAACATTTATACTATGTCACGATTAACAATGATATTTATGTTTTAATATTAGCTAACGATCGTAAAGGAAGGTGGAATGACAGAAATTAATAACTATGTCGGAATCGCGTGTGTTACTACAATTAGAATAACTTTAGGGACACACATATTTGATTTAAGGTTATTTGGAAATTCTGTGAATTGGCGAACATAGGCATATTGAATTACGGCAGGTGGTTCGTTGTTCTATTACCTTCGACTACTAATCTTACAGTTGAAAGTTATTTTGTCCTACGAATTTTTTTAGTATATTTAGTATTAACTTTAGTATACCCGTGACCACAGCTGCTGCAAAACATCCGAAACGTCGGACCGTAGTTAAATTTTTTTTTACTTAAATATATCGCGTTTTAAACCGTTAAAGTGTTAAATGTGTACTACTCACGTAAACTACAGACATTATTTAATTAACTCTGAGTTCGAAGGTTAGCTGTTAATCTCCATTTACAAGGTTGCCTAGAAGAAAACGCTTAGCAATATGCCCGCCGTTTCTTGTTATACAGTTTTGTAGCTTAAAATTTTTAAATATTATTTCCGTAGCGACAATAAAGCATTTTTGTTTGTAGATAAGGTAATCATTAAAGCTCGCCTACCCTCACTGAAGCAGCATTTCGGACGCTTTAACCTTCTGTCCTATAAGAGATTCCCGGTGTCCAGTACTAGGGCATTAGTGGATTGAAAAGAAGCAATAGATGATAGACATCATATTTTTTTTCCAGTTACATTATTAGTTGCAATCAAGAAACACGTTTTGTATGGTATGCTATACAAAAACAAATAGGAGTACATTATATTTATTTATTCTATTGTTTATACTACCATAGATAAACAATAGAATAAATAAGAACATAACAAATATAATAAGTACGTTCAAGAGCTTTAGTATAATAATTTCGTAAATAATGTTTCATATTAATTTCAATGTGGGCGATGTCACTGGAGGAAAAACAGTTGGTCTGTCTTAAAACTCCTGTGTAACGTATGGGTGCAAATTCTAATCGAATATGTTATCCGTTTTTTATAAGTTGTACTCTTTAAATAAAACACTTCAACAGTTTAAAACGCGATATATTAGTTAATTGGCTAATATATCGCGTGGACTCGTAGTCTTCATCCAAGTACGATTTTCATGGAAAATATTTACATTTTGAGTGTAGAGTAATTCTTTAAAAATCTCAGCTCAAATAACTACGCGACGAAACCCAAACGATTTCACTAAACTTTACAAAACAAAATGTAAGAAAAATATCACATTCAATTCAATCCAAATCTATTATTATAATTAAAACACCCCTCACCGTATCGTGAGATAACCTATCAAGTGAATATTAAACCACACCTCAATTAACGTAGTGATTTTTTTGTATTCCAATGACAAGCATATTGTGATCCATTTATTAACTGGACATAAGTTAAAAAGGGTTGATCTATTCTACCTTCCATTTATGAGGTTAATGTTTTTCGTAATCATGACGATTGAAAAATAAACGCATTTAATTATTTAAAATGCAAAATTTAGTTTCAACTACTGTTTTTGTGGATGCCGTTTTAAGTGTTACATTTAATATATGCAATTAATTACGTGTGAAAAATATTCAGGTTTGTAAATGAACTAACACAAATCAGATTTAAAGTCTTTAATGCTGGTAGAATGTAAGGTAACACAGGCCAATTGGCAGTATAACTTTATTGTTTACAAAAGAACACAAGTCAAATGCTTACATAGATAGTATTTTGCTTCTGAATTGGGAACTCCAGTCTCAAATTAATAATCAAAACCTAGATCGACACAAGTATAGGTATAGATTATTTATTTCACATTAAAAAAGTGCACATCATAATACGAATTACTATTCTGTTTAAGTAGACACCCTTTTTATATCTTGACGCTATACAATATATTGACCGCAGAATGCAAGATCTACTAAAACTTCTTTGATCACAAATTTAGCCCTGTATGCATTCTTATGCTGTTTCAGGATTTATAGAGGCCTTATAAAGGCACAGTTTATCTTCTACCCACATAGACCTGAGCAAACATCAATTAGACAATTATGTTTGTTCGTTAATAACTCGGAAACTACAGGTCTGGAAGCAAATCAGTACAGTCAATATAGGTCAGTAACTTACTCAGCAAACACACAGCCACTTAAAGGAATCTTAGAAGGGTGACTACGATTTTTGACCATAAGAGACTATTTTAATGATTTGTGCCACAATGATTAAATGCAGTGTTTTGTCATTAGCTCGAAAGCTCTTGTATTTGAGGCTTGGGAAAACATATGCGTAGTTCTAGTTGAAAAAAGTACAAAAGTCTGATCTATTGCTGAATATAATTAATCAGGTAAACAGGTACAACAATATAAGTCCACGGTACGCCCAGTATGTCATTTTTACACCATATATTCTCTAAATAAGTTCAATTAAATTAATTACATATGCAACAAATGTGATTTGTTTTTACCAAAACTAATTTTCAGGCTCCATACACTTATAATTTGTCGATTAAGATTTTTTAACAAACCCAAGTTCGTAATGAAGTATTCCGAAATGACATAATAATCCATAAATATCAAAATATATTGTCACCCCGACATGAATACATCAACACATGTTCGTTCAAAGGAACACCTTTGAACCCTCAGGTTGTTTAAATTGACCTTCCAAATGCTCAAAATTGATAGTTTCGCATTTTACAATACATACTTGTTTCAATGTGGCAGTTTCAGGTATTATTTATTTGGTTTCAAATTAAGAATTGTCTGTGGTTTTTCACGGTATAAAACGCGAAATATATTAGTTAACTCATTTAGAATTTGCATCCGAAACGTTATCGTTGGGCTGTAATTAAAATTTTAAGCAAGTTAACTAAAATATTTTGCTATTTAAACCGTTATAAATTTTATAATATATTATTCGTTCGTTCATTCGTTCGGTCGTAAGTGTTTTTGTGTGCTCCCGCAAAAAAACGTTTAAATAAATTAGTAAAAATGCCGAAAGTTATTCAAAATAGTGATTTAAGCAGTTTAAACGAGCCAAATAGGCCATATGTAACTCCGGGATGTGAAAAAAACTCGTTCGAAACTAATATTAATACGCTGAGAGGATCCCGTGCGCAAGCATCCGATGATTCACTTCTCATAAATGGTGATTGCGATTATGCTTTGGAACTCCGAGCCTTCAAAGACCAAATTTTCAGGAAAACTGGACATGCAAACAAGAGCTATTATGGATCTTCGAGATTGTGTATTTCCCTGAAATCGGAATTGCACGAAATAGAAACGAAGTTCATGTCGGTAGTTGAACAAAGTGATAGAAGTAATAGTGGAAATATCAATCGTGCTCTCAATGTAAATAATGGGCAGTGTACTCGTACCGAGGACATATCGGAGAAGCGAGTAGAAAATATACCAACACCAACATTTGCCAAAATTGCTCAAAACCCTAGGCAGGTAGGCGGTTGTACTAGCGAGGCCACGAAAGCCACGACAATCAGCGCAGCGACAATCAAAATGCGACGAGTTAAGAAACATCAATTGCAATCGATGGATCTAGAGACCGTAGAGGTAGGACATAGGAATAACAAAAATAATTTCCAAGAAAAAGTCTTAAGGTCAGAATCTGCAGATATTATGCGAGGAAAATATGCCATATGCTTGAGATTCAGGCTTCGGAAAAAATAAAACATCTACATGTTTGGCAATTGAAAACTGATACCACAGTGGATCAGCTATCAACTTATGTACAAAAAATATGTGGATCGGATATTGATACCAAAATTATTAAACTAAAACATAAGCGGGAGAGAAGCTATTCTTCTTTTATAATCACCGCTTCAGAATCAGTGTATCAGAAATTATGCCACCCGGAAGTTTGGCCCATTCATGCAGAGTTTTCTCAGTGGTATTGGTTTCGTAAACCAAAAAGCAAATCAACCGAAGAGTAATGCTCATTTAACTATCTATTATCAGAATGCCAGGTGCCTTCGAACTAAGTTGAACAGTTTTTGTAGAAACATAGAATATTTAGAAGCTGATATCATTGCTATTACGAAAACTGGATGTAATGATTCGATAATGGACGGCGAAATTCTACCTGCAGGGTACCAAATTATTCGGTGCGACCGTACTGACGGACGTAAACAAGGCGGTGCATTTCTAGTGGCCGCTCGCGGTTTACGAATACAAAGAGTGAGCCGATGCGAAGTAGATGACGTCATGGTAGATCGCCACTCGTTCGAACTATTCTGTGCGCCCGTTCACTCTAATGACAAATTATTGTTGTTGTGTTGCGTAGTATATCTACCTCCTAAAATCAGTGAGAACGAATATATGTTATGTTTAAATTTATTAGAACGACTGTGTTTAAAATACGAAAAAGTGTTATTGCTAGGCGATTTTGTTTTGTATTCTACTAGTGCAGTTGTTAGAGATTATTTTGATTTTTTAAAATCTTATTGTGATTTCACTCAAGTTAATAATATTCCGAATTGTAATGGTAGGCAACTGGATCTTGTGTTGTGCTCATACTTGTGGGATAAAGTGTCGGTGAAGTAGGCGGATGAGCCCTTGGTGCTGGTGGACCCGTATCATCCGCCACTCTTGATTGAGCTGGACTATCCCCGCTATACAATGATGAGGTCGTTTTGCATAACTGGGAAAGTAGGACCTCTGCAGGTAGGAGTAAATTAACTTGAAATTTCTATAAAGCGTGACGGGGTGACGTTTATAATATACGAAACCCGGAGGACGCCCTCGCAGTGTTATATAATATTTTGAATAACATTCTAGATAAGCATGTGCCTAGAAAGTCTAACGCGAAAAAACATAAATATAGCAATTCCGAAAGGTATAGGACCGATATTATTAATGATATAAGACTTAAGGCTAAGTTACACAAACGCTATAAATTAAGTCGATCGGATACGGAATATTTTTGTCGAAAGAGAGTTAAGGCTAATCTAAAACAGACATTCCATATATACGAACAACTAATTCAAAACAATTTAATTAAAGACCCTAAATCTTTTTGGAAATATATCGGAGCAAAAATTCGTCTGCACAAAAACAAACGGTTTGTAAAAACGGTTTGCAGTTATCGAATTCGGAATGTGCGAAATATTTTATTACGAATACAAATTTTCAGGCGCATCTTTGGAAAGACTGCAATCTGTGCGTGATCTCGGAGTTACAGTAGACACAAGGTACACGTTTAGAGACCACATAGTCAGTGTCCCCGACTGTTAAAGCCCGACCAACCACAATGAATGATGTATGGCGGGAAAGATTTTATAAACTCATTTCTGAGAAATAGAAACTTTTGCCCATGTAGGGCATTGATAGGTGGAAGCGAAAATTAAACAAAAAAACTCATCGCAAATCTATTTTTAGTTCCACCTTAATCGTCAATGCTAAAAGCATAGCCGACTTATTTTAAAATATTAAAAGCTTTGTAACGTAATTCGCTTAATATTTTGAACAATGCAAATGAAATCAAAGTTGAAAGTTACGGCGGGGTTTCAACTATGACTGCAATTAACATAAAATAATACTTAAAATTCCGACCGATCTCATCGCGAAGTTTATTAGCGAAGATACCGGCGATATCTTGGGAAAATATAAATAAAATGACAACGGAATTATAAAGTACAAACAGAGAATATCTTCGAGAGTTGTGAAGCTGTAAAATTGCTTATGTAAAGCGTAAAGGAGCTCGAAAATAGGGGAGTGTTGGTTATCGAACTTGAAGCGATTTTTACGAGCTTCTGTTCTCGTAGTGGTTCCCGTTTTTACTATTTTTTTTTTTCATTAATCACGTTAGAAATTATTTCAGATATGGTAGTATTTTCAGGGAACAAAAACGCTTTGCAGGAGGAGACAATCTCTTATACTATATTACAATGTTTTTGTTTCAAACAAAATTGTATTGACATTAATTCGTTGAGATAACTGACTTTTTTGACTTAGCTTTTATAATTAAGATGGTAAAACCTCTTGCTCTTTTGACGTTGTCGTTGGTCTAATGGTAGCAACGTTTGGCTAATCAACGGGTCGTAGATTCGATCCTCGTTGGGTCCAACAAGTTTCTTAACATATATGTTCTCTAATATGTTGGAATTCGACTGGAAATCTAGTTAATAAATGTGTGGTAGGAATACTTCCGTCTGGGTCATGGAAAACCGTGAAGTAATGATACTTCGAGTTCAGTCCGTGAATTTCCAAATATCCAAAGCCAAAATAGGTCGAAAGCATCTTGTTTAGACATTATACGGCTGGGATATTTTATCTACGATCAAGCAAACCCCATATTTGTCTGCACTTCTCTGTTATACAAAAATCTAATTCCTGTTATACTAAGATAACACATGTTTCTCTATAGTCTGATTGAATTTTTATCTACGTAAGAACAAAGATAAAAAGAGTATAATAGACACTTAAAAGTCACAAATTCAAAAAAGAAATGTCATATAGGCGTTTCACTATTTGATGACTTCGCTGATCACACACTCTATCGAGGCCAAAAGATCTTGAAACAAGTCGCTTTGCATTCAGACTCGTGTGCCCCTCTGTGCCGTGTTTACACTGACCGGAAGATATTCAGTCTGACCGCAGTCAATAGGACATCATTACTCTGTGACCTGCGCGAGCCTCGTTTGAACTCAATCTTTACTGACTCGAATAGGACGAATAGTCTTTACCAGTTCCTTTCCATAGGAATTAAGGATTGTATTAGTGTGATAATAAAAAAAATATACTGCAGTCCTGTATGTGTGTGCAATAACCTGTATGTGCTGGTGATAGGGTTAAGAGTTTAAAACGTGAAATGGGAACAAGCAAGACACAGTACCTCAATTTATAGGTTATATGCTGAGTCAAGCCTGTCTGTGTCATTGATTTTTTTTTTAATCTAAAAGAAGATTTCCTATCTCACTACTTAACTAACCATTTGAATGCATTTAAACTTATTTGTATCCATAACGTAAATCTAAACTTTCATCTTAAAAAACTATATCTTGTTGACGTGATTGGTGCTTTAAAAGATCGTAACTCGACTACGACTTTTTATTCAATATTTTGTGATTCCAGTGGCTGTCCCGTTACAACATACACAAATCGTTCACCGTGGGTCAACATTTGTAGAGCTCTATCGCCATGAATGACCGCAGTGACCAATGCCAAGAAAATATTGACATTTATTGTTTGTAGATTGCACTTTTCCTAATTGCGGTCTTTTAATTTCCGGTAAATTAAAAAGATTGAATTTTATTTATATGTCGCTATTATTTTTTTGATTTTCTTCATGATATCTCAACTCGTGTAAAATATTTATTTAAAGGTATATACTAATTTTCTTTTCAAACAGTAAAATAAATTTTGTTTCCCCCGTTTTTTTTTTACTTAGCCCCTAGGTTGAACGACTGTTTTACGACACTGTTGCTCATCTGGGGGGCAATTCTCGAAAAAACTATAAGAGATTTAAGTCGTGCCTTATTACTAGTTTCATGCAACCGAAAATAACACTTAATTGACCCCGTATGCAATTAATATCGCTACATGTGTACGGGCCCTTAAACGAAACTAACCACGGCTCGTGTGATTAGTCGCGCATGTTTGACTGCGATGTGTTGACAATCCCGTGGCGGGCATATTGAACAAGTTTCTACTGTTGTACTTGCAAACTTCTCAGTATTGCCATGTATTGCTTAATATATCTCTTGGAGAACCACCGGTACACTATCGCCAAATCATACTCAAATATACTAACACACGAATGAAGCAAAAAATATAATTGTCTGTTATTTAATCGATCGAAGAAGTCATGCTTTAGCAATCGATTCGACTATATATTTGGCTCTAATATTAAAAACAACCCACGCATGTGGGTTGTACCAAATTGAAAAGGATCCAAACATCAAATTGTTCGTTTTATTTCGTAATACATTTACTATGGTTATATTACAATTACATTTTTATTACATTGATTGAATAGAGAACAATGTTTAAATTATAAAATAATTATAATTACATAAAATGGTTTAATGCGACTCGCACTATTTAAAACGTCTAGATACTATCATCGTTCCATAGGTATCTAATAAAGCTTACATATATGAAACACTTGTTGCGTATTAATATATATATAAAGTATATATATTTTGTCATAAGACAGAGAAGATAAGCAAGAGGTTCACTCGATGAACGGTGTATTAACTCAGCCATATAGTCTCAACAAGACTAGCTGAAGACCTATTTTTCCTTTGGATTTTCAATTTCTATCTCGTCATCTGACGCAGTATTCGTCCGCCTACCATTTAATAAAGTTATGCAGTAAAGTAGAATCGTACCCATCGACGACCAAGTGGGCAATCCACGATCAAACGTCGCAATTCGTGGCAGCGACTTATCCGCGTGATTTGAATAATTTTTACATTTAAAATCATTCGCTACGACTTCCAAAGGGTAACCGCGAATCGAGACCATTGCTAAGAGATAAGAAGCTCCGCAAGGTGTAAGTTATAAACGTTTACAAGGTTAATCATACTGTCTGTAGTTTACACATTTAAATAAACACTTTAACCGTTTAAAACACGATATATACTTACTAGTTAATCTTACTTGAAAATTATTTTACGTAAGTAAGGTCCGACATTTCGAATGCTTTGCAGCAGCCGTGGTCACAGGGA